CAGAGCCCCCGAGGTGCTGGTCGGGGCAGGCACCTCGATGAGAGCCGGGGGTTTGGGCTGTGCCGCGCCGTGGGGAGCGCGGGTGGCAAAACAAGAGCAGGGTGCTGTGCTTTGAGACATGAGCAGGGGTTGGACCAGCACGTGGACTAGGAAGACAAGGCTAAATTTAAGGAGGTGTGAGAGGTGACAGAGCTTGGATGGGAACAGCGAGGCCGTTGGGAGATCCAAGGAAACCTCCGTGGTGTGGGCACTGTGAGGGCGGCAGGTTCGAGGGGCTAGCCAGCTCCCAGTGCTGCCTTTGCTCTTTTCCAAGTAATTTCGCTTTGAATTTGTTTTTTAATAATGTTGACTGGATTCCACCTAAGCTTTGGTTTGGTGCCAGGACAGCCCTGAATGCCACATGGAAAACATCCTCGTTGCATCTGAGCGCGTCAGAGCCGAGCCTGGTTTGCGGAGCTGATGGGACAGGATTTCACGCGGTCAGCGTGGCACCAGCCTGACTCATTCTCGGAGATGGATAAAAACGACTGTTTGGTGCTGTGTCAGAGCCGAGCAGCATAAAACCTTTTTGGCAGCAATGTGACCCTCCTTCAGAGGACCACATCTGAGGAGCTGCTGGCCCCTTGCTGTGACCAGTTTCTCGTGCGTGGATACTGGACTGGAGCTCTGTGGACCCCCCAGTGCACAAGGTGTCTTTCGTAGCCTGCTTCTGCACACCTTGTCTCTCTGGTTTGGAGCTGGCTGCTTCTTGTTCTTTTGAGGAACAGCCTCGTGTTCCTGCAGGAGTTTATCTGATATTTTAGGTGAGCCCCGGCGCCGTTGCAGTGCCTGACATTCAGTACCGGCTGTAGGCTGGGCTTTGAAGAAGGGCTTTGGAGTCCTGCCTGCCTGGCACCAGACACAGCTCCAGTTTGCCTTTTCAGTTCAAACAGTCGCAACTTTGTTCTTGTGCTCGTCCTCGGTACGTGTGTATCAGCACAACGCGCACCTGGATGCTGAGCGCTGCTCGAGAGAACAGCATTTCCATAGCTCAGATGGTGCTGGGCCAAATTCAGGGATGGAAAGAAGCTGGAATATTGTCACAGCTGCCTTTGAAGTTACGGTCTGCAGTGGCTATAGTCTCCTCATTCTCTCCTTCACCTCACTCTCAGCTGGACAGGAAGAAGGATGGATGGATGGATGGATGTGCCACCTCTCCTGACTGTCTCTAAACCCACTCTGGGGTGGAGTAAAACTTAGCACTTAACCTCCTGCAAATAACTTTCCAACTTTGCCTTATACTATAGGGACTACATGGAAAAGTACTTTAAAGGCAGAGAGTTTGACAGCTATTTTTAGGTACTCATTGAGCAAAACACTCTCCAACATCTGCTCGTCAGTCAGCTATCCCTTCTCTGAGCAAACCTGATGGGATGAGCAGAAGGAAGATGACATTGTTTTATGTAACAGAAGTAAATTTACTGGAAAAACTATGCAGCAGCCTTCTAGCTGGCTCTTGCTGCGTGTTATATATAAATCTTCAGTCTCCCCTTTGCTGGCTTGTGCTGGAAACCAACCATCCAAATGCACAAGCTGGATAGAGGATGAGGCGTGGGAGCTCCGTGTGTTCTTTGATTTTCCCCGTGGTTTCATAGGTGCCTGTACAGAAATGTGCCGCTTCAGCTTCTCTGAAACACGTCACTCAGGCAGAGAGATGAACCAGCCGCACAGGGACGATGGGGAATATTCAAGACGGTAGTCGCAGCCAATAGCAACCCCAGGGCTGAAAGATGTTCACAGAAATCATCCAGCGCTGATCTCACAGAACAGAGGATGCGAGAGGGGAGGCTGGCTTGCAGGCAGCCTGCAGCATGCAGCGGGACAAAGGTCCTAACACGAGCGGCTCGCAGCAGGCATTCAGCACTGCTGACACCACCAAAGCCACTGTCGAAAAGAGCCTGACCTCACGGGCAAGTGCGCATCTTTTTTCTTTCTTTTTTTTTTTCAAAAGCTGTTCTGTGATAAGCAGGTAAACATGAACAGCAGCATGGAAGATATTCTGCATTATTCCTTGCTAGCTTGAATTTTTATTTGCCCTGCAACTGTCCTGCAACGTGGGAAGCAGCCTGCTCCCATTTCTCCTGGCCTTGAAAAATGGGAGAGGGAAACCCAGGGAAATGAGTCATCAAGGAGCTCCTGGAAGAAGAGAGACCCAGATTTAGTAAATGCAGAAGGTATTCCATAACTCCAGCTTCCCAGCTGCGAAAGCCAGCAAATCCAGGGTAACGGCATCCTTTGAGCTAAGCTGGACATCGCAGAGCTTGGTTCTTTGCCAGGTCGGCCAAAGGGGCATTTATCATTCATCTGTTTGAAGTTCTCCCTCCCAGGAACCGCATGGTGAGGCTGAAGGACGGTTTATTATAGCGTTCCCATAGTCTCCATTGTGGACCAGCAGCTGCGTGTCACCAGCTGCCTGTTTGTCTGTGTGACTAAGCATCTAGAGTCCCCAAATATAGCCATTCTGCTGGAGCTTGTGGCATTTTTTTCCCTTCATTTTTTTCTCTTCCTATATAATAAAGACAGGCAAAGTCATCTCGTGATGACCCCCGTGTTATTTCTTTTCAGCCAAGAGGCCGCAGTCCAGCCAGGCCAGCAGAGCACCGATATTGGCCTTTGCAAAGTGTCTGGTCTGAATGGTCCAGACAGGCGAGGCACAGCGGGGATGAAGTGGTTTGCTCAGTGTCACACAGGTTGGTGGCAGAGCCAGAAATTCAGCCCAGCCATCCTGAGCCTCTGTGTCACCCCGTCCCCTGGCCCACGTGTGTTCAGGCAGGGTCAGCAGAACAGGGAGGCGGGGGGGACTTGGTGTGCTACGCTTTTTGCCAGAATATTGAGCTACTCAGTCTTTTTTAGGACAGGAGGTCTTCAGAGCAGTGCTAGCTGTCCGATTTGTGTTCAGATGATGTCGAGCTAAGCTCAGGCTCAGTACCAATGGGTGGCGTGGGCAGATGAAGAATAAGCAAGGAGGATCTGTTTATTACTGCACTGGACCGAGACGCAGGAGACCTGAATTGTTTCCAAATCTACTGCAGATTCATTCTGGGGTTTTGGAGAATTTCCTTAAACTCTCTACATCCTAGTTCTTTCTCCATTTGACTTTAATGTCTACAGACTCAGTATGGAGAAGAGTACAAAGCCTTTACTCTGGTCCCACGTAAAAAAGGAAGAAAAGCAGTGAAGGATGATAGTTGAGAAAACGAGAGAAAAATTCTCCCTCGTTTTACACTGTTTGGAATAGTGTGTTTGTGCTAATGGAATGGAGAGTTTAGGAAACAAAATTTAAATAATGTTGCTTTCTTCTAGATGGCATTGATCAGCAGCTTGGGCTGCTCCCACCATGGCTTCCCTGCTCAGGCAAGCCAAAGCACCTCCCCAACAAGCCAAAGCACCTCCCCAACAAGCCAAAGCACCTTCCCAACAAGCCAAAGCACCTTCCCAACAAGCCAAAGCACCTCCCCAACAAGCCAAAGCACCTCCCCAGCCTACTGCGTGGCCTTTGGGCTTCCCCGCCACGGCACTCGCAGGACAGCAGCCCTCCCGCTTTTGTCTCAGACTCAGGAAGATGAACAAGTGGGGGGATATGAACCGTGTTGCGTCCCAAGTCAGGGAATGCTTGAAGAGTGTTTTCCTTCAACATTTCACTTGGTGCTGAAACAACTGGGATGGTTATACCATCCAGATGCCAGAGGTATTACCAAAGGAGAGCCTTTCCTTTGCAGAACGGATTCATGGAAGACGCTGGAGGACATTGGGTCAGACCCCAGCGCACTGTCCACACCCACCTCCAGCACCTCTGCGTGCTGGCTGGGCAGCTCCGTGCCTGCTGGGTCTGCTGTGTCCTGAGCGAGGGCAGCGATGGGGGTCTGCTGGAGGTTGCAGTGGGAACAGCAGTTGCAGATGAGATGGTGTCTATCAAAAAAAGGACTCGTGGTGTTTCAAGGCACGTTTTGCTGTTGGGTGCTTACTCAGACAGGAGTTGATGGAGACTGTCATGTCTTAACAAGTGGGTTTTGTTTTCAAAGCCATCTTCTGATTTTGCTTTTAGTTGCTCCTTCCTCAAGAATAATCTGAGAGCAGCCTCAGTATGAGAGTTCAGGTTATTTTATGGATTATTCTTTCTTACTCCTTACAGGGTTACTTAAAGCAGTGCCGGAAGAGGAGGGATATGTTCAGTGATGAACAGCTAAAAATCATCTTTGGTAACATCGAAGATATCTACAGATTTCAGATGGGATTTGTCCGGGACCTGGAGAAACAGTACAACAACGAGGACCCCCATCTCAGTGAAATTGGACCATGTTTCCTTGAACACGTAAGTGAATTTGGCATTTTTGTTTGGGAGTTTTGGGGTTGCTTTTGGGGGACAAGGGTGGGGGAGGAGGAGTAGCAGAAAAAGTCAGGAGGCAGGAACCACTCAGAATAACTTTAGTGCATCGATACTTTTCTAGTTACATATCAGGAACCACTCCATGGCCCCCCACTGACTTCGTGAGATACAGAGAAGGAAGGATTTGAAGTGAAGCATATAGCTGGATAACCCCTCAGTGCGTTTGAATCCCAACACCTGTTCACATCCACCCGGAATCATGTTATGTAGGCGTGGTGTCCCTCAACTCCTCCCCACCTTCTCCATTCTTTAGAATATGGGTTAAACCCCCTCCCAGGCCATCCTAACCAGGTCACGGATGGCTAGAAGGTCAGAAGAGGTAGGAGAGTCCGGAGAAGTCAAATGAGGCATTAGTTGCACATCACACAAAAAAGGCAGAGGAGAGCAAGAGCCTGGGCTGTTCGCTGTGGCACTGGGATGAGAAACCCACGCAGCTTCAGCTGCCTTCCCCCGTGGAGCTGCTGGGCTGGCTGGGGAGGTGCCAGCTCGTGCTTCTTGCTGCCCAGGCAGCAGCAGGGCAGCAGATACTCGCTCACGCTAAGTGCACACACCAAACAGGACATTTTAGCTGACTATATAGTCCTGGAGGCTTTTGCCCAGCCCGTTGTACTGTTGCATAAGCCACGTACTTCAGGAGCTGATAAATTGGCCGGTGTTGTAAATATGTCAGGAAATGTCAAGAAAATTATAGTCCTGCAGTTCCAGGCTTTCCTTTAGGGAGAGTGAAGTGCTGTATCAGAGCTTACGTAGGAGATGCTCCAACCCAGCATCTCTTCAGCATCCTTGGTCATTGAAAAGCAGGTTTCTTTTTGAGAAGTTGCATGATGGCATTAATATTGCTCATTTTTATCAGAGCCTGCAATCTCTGCTGCTTGCTTCCAAAGCAGCATCATATTCCACCTCTGTGCTAAAGAGATGTAGGAAATCTTGGTGAGAATCAGTAGCTGAAACTTCATGTCTTGAGGCTGTGCTGTCAATTCATTTATAGTGACAATAGTAAGAATTACTACTGTTATTCGGAGGAATATCTGACACTTATCTGCCACCAGATAGGGGCTGGAAGCTGGCTAATAAACTCCTGATAAATTATCCCAGTTTAGCCATTTGGGGAAACTGAGGGATGAGGCCGTTAAGATCCTGTTCTGTGGATCTGCAAAGCGGATCTGCTCATCTGCTTCAGGAAGAGCGAGGTGTCCGCGCCTGTTCTTGATCAGCTGTGGGGATGGGAAAGAAACCGGGCTCCCCTGTTCCCAGACGGGCAGGTGATTTGGGCCCTTATGGGACTGAGAAATAGGAATTTCTGGTCAGGTGTACTTTTAAAAAAGAGAATCTGTCCTTTCTGTATTTTATAAGGCATTGGCTGCAACCTGATGGAGCATCTCAGGCTGTTGACCTGGCTGGGCTGGCTCAACTCCAGCCTTAATCTGTGACACTGGGCAGTCAGTTTGTGTCTGTCTCCCTTCCCGTGTCATTTTTCTTTGGCCTTTCATCTGCCTTGTCCGTGTGGCCCAGAGGAATCAAGCTGGAGATACAGAGATGCCAGTGATGCGTCAGTACGCGGGTCCCTCGCTGCCTCCCTTTGCCCCGCGAGCGACCATGCAGCACCTGCACCAAGCAGACGAGTGCTCTAGGAGCAGTCCTTCCTCCTGCTGCTTGGGGGGTTCCTTTGTCTTTAGTGGTAATGTCTTCTCGTTGGCACGTCAGGTGGTTGACTGCTCGCAGACGTGCCTGACGTGCGCTCCCCTCTGTGTGCATCCCTCTTCTGCCTCTCACAGCAAGATGGGTTCTGGATCTATTCGGAGTACTGTAACAACCATCTGGACGCGTGCATGGAGCTTTCCAAGCTGATGAAGGATAGCAGGTACCAGCATTTCTTCGAAGCGTGTCGTCTGTTGCAGCAGATGATCGATATTGCCATAGACGGTTTCCTTCTAACGCCGGTGCAGAAGATCTGCAAATACCCCCTGCAGCTGGCGGAGCTGCTGAAGTACACCGCCCAGGATCACAGGTACGCCCGTCTCTTGTTACACCGAAGGGTTTTGCTCGCTGCTTCTTTACACAGCCTCTGCACGCACACAGGGGTTGGGTTTTTTCTGTCCAGCTCTTCTCTTCATGCCATCTTATATAAATTGAAGCAGGGCAAATTTTCAGCAGACAGCTAGAAAGCTTCTCAAAGTGCTGATTCTCAATGGAGCCAAACTCATCTCTGTTATAATCACACATGTGAACTAATTACCCTTGGATGGACTTTCTGATGCTTCCAGTTACACTAGAAAAATTACCTAATTAGCATTCGGTGGTCAGAAAGGCTCATTCCTTTATCCTGAAGAGGACCTCAGCACAGAGCAAGTCAAGGGCCAGGATCTGCAACTCAGAGCTGAACGTGCTCAGATCTGGGGAGGATGCAGGACCTGCTCTGCTTTTCAGCCTGAGTCCACCTCTGATTTTGCCACTGGGTTTAGGTTCAGAGGAGCACCCAGCAGTTTGATGACTTCCCAAAATTTCCAGGTTCTCTTTTGCTGCTGAGGGCAACCAGCCTGACTGCCTGACCTACTGTAGATCAAGAACAATACCTATGATATCACTTGTGATATACTGCTATAAAAATAAGGTGAGAGAAGAACCGGACCCCCTGAGGGGAGATTTTCTTCCGCCTTGCCAGTTTTCTTTCTTTTTCCAAAAGCCATTTAAAAGGAGGTGTTTCAGAGAACAAAAAAAGTCCACAAATGTTTCAGAAACTTCTGCAAGCATTTGATTTTTTTGTTTTGTTTTGCTTTTCCCCAAACCCAGCTCTGGAAGGTGCAGAGACACGTGATATGAGCATAGAGATGCATTGATTTGCTTTGACCCAATTAATGGGTTTGACTAATTCATAGCAGCTGAATGCCCAGTTCAACATCACCAACTTGGACGTGCATTTGGCTCCAGATCCAGTTTCTGGTTTTCCCTTCATAACGAGACCAAATCAAACTTGGAGTGGACTCGTGGGAATGTTAGGGTATCAGAAACCAGCTCTAGGATCCCGAAGGTTGTGGCTTCTTTCCCCTGCCAGCCGTGTGATGTCCCCGCAGGGCTTACAGCGGGAATTCAGCTTTACGATGGGAAGACATAAGCATCCTCAGAGGGAAGAGGTCTGTATTTAACATGACCTCCTCTGAGTTATTTGGTAGCAAAGGGGATGTGGACAGCGTGATTACACAAGGGTTGAATTATTTTGGGAGTATGTTCCTTTTTCCTTTGGGATGTTTCAAAATCAACATGTTGTTAAGTAATCAGATACAGTCATATTCTGAGGAGACTTGGACCTTTCCGCTGGGTGATTCAGGCTGAGACCTCTTTTTTACTGGATTGTGCCAGAGACAGGACACTGGGGCTGTGCAGAAAACCCGGGCTGCCGCGGTTGCCTGCTTGAAATACAAATATTTTCTGCTTTTGTCATTCTGGCTTTGGGATTGGGGCTGAGGTGAGCAAAGCCTGAGATCAGAAAAGCAAATAATCTTGGGGAATGTCATGTTGTGACAATATTGGACACGGGGAAAAGCCAGGTACCTGCAGGCTGGGATACCGTCAGGGTCAGCGGTGAACAAGAGAAACTGAGCAGCCAACTGGGGGGCTTCAGCGGGGCCCGTTCATCAGGCGGTGAGTCGTCCTTGTGCACTTGCAGATTGGCGGTGCTGGGAATTAGATTGTGAGTCTGAAACAGAAGCCAGAAAATGATAAAGTGGACTAATAGTCACAATGAAGTCAGGCTCATCGCTGGCTGGATTAGGAGTCTCCCAGGCACTCTGATTAGAATGTAATATGTAGAAAATAGTGTGTGAATCAGTTGAACCATTTATGGAGTAAGGCAAAACTCAGAAAGGACCAGGAGTCCCAATGAAAGCAGATATGTTAGTTTCATCTAACAGTGGGATGCTATATTCTTTTTGTTCTTCTTTCCTTTTTTTTTTTTTTTTTTCTTTTTTTTTTTTTTTTTTTTGTCCTTCCTCTGCACTAATGTTGTACGTGTAGAGCTATGGATCTTCCCTGTGCCAGGTCAGGACACCAGAGCTGGAACCAGAAACCTGACCACTCTCCCCCAAGTTAGCATGTGATATTTGGCAAGAGTCTTACTTCTGATGGAGCACTGGAAAAAGGTCATTGCAGCCTTAGTAAAATTGACAAACAATTTATTTACCTTTATTTCATAGTTAATGCTATCCTATTGTTATTTCACTGGCCAAACGCTTTGCTTCTGTTATTTTTTCTTCTAAGTTTTTGCCAGCTCTGCCGCAGACACGGGCCAGGAGCCCAAAAAGTTCAGTCATGACTCTTTCTTCATTACTGCGTGAAAGAAAAATGTGCATGGGGTTTTCTCTTCAAACAGCACATCCGAATTAGTGCATTAGCATTACCAAGATAAAACCCAGCTCCACTGGCACCGTCCCCCTCCGCATAGAGGCGGGCACGGGGGTGTTCTCGGAGCCTGGCTCCCTTCAATTGCGAATTGTTTTGAGACTGGTTCATTTGAATTTTTCACAAAGCCCCATCTGTTCACCTCTTAAAGATTTACTCCAGCTTAATATGAATTAAATATAGGAAGGTCCTGAGCGCAGCTTAAAAAAACTGCAGAGCGGAGCTGGGGTTGAGTGTATGAACACGGGACGTGATGAGGAGGAGACTCTGCTCACGGGTGGACTGGCAGTATCCTCCCTTTGCATGAGCAGAATTGCCAGGAGATTATTAGCGACCGTCTCTAATCCATACACCTCTCCCTACCTCTGCAGATCCATTCTGGCCGTAGTGACTTACCTGTTGCCCTACAAGAACTCATGGAGATTTTGAAGCCCAGACTAACATCTCTCTGGACTAGTTCCATTTCTCCCTTACACAACCAGGCGCTCACTTCATACAGACGGCCCCACAAAGGCAGGCACAGGAAATTCTTCATTGTATAGCACGGTGGATATGTCAGACAGCCCGTTGTTATTCTCATTTACTTTGTTGAAGGACCACTCCTGATGTTTTGGAATTTGAAGGAATTTTTTTTTTTTTCTACCTGAGCTAGAATTTTGATGTAAGAATTGAATAACGATTGAAAACACATCTCAAGATTTCATCCAAGAAAGGATGGCAAAATAGCAAATAATGTTCTGTTGTATAACGGGATTGTTTCTTAATATTTATCCTGTTTGGATCGCGTGGGGAAATGGATCTAATTCACACCACTCACCCCTATTTTAGCTGTCACCAGTGCAATTCTTAGCAATAATCAATAAAGCCATTCGCCGTGCAGTTGCCCAGGATCGCAGTTTTTCTCATTAGTCAGCAATCGATACCAGCCCTTAAGTAAATAATATATTATGGTGGCATTGTGGCAGCTGGCCTTGTCTGGCTTTCCGATTGAAATGAACATTAAGGTTCCTTGGAATGGAAAAGAAGGCACAGGGCGGAAATCAATAGCATTGATTTCAGCGTCGCTTTCTGAAAAGACTGATCATCATCTTGGCTGGCCCTGGCGGGACGCTATTTTCACTCTTTGTTATTACACTCGCAGGCTCATCCAGGAAAAAAAAAAAAAGAAAGAATTACTTTGATTTGCTCACCTGAAGTCTGCAGCAAGAGTGAATGCCGTGGGATGAGTGCTCTGTGCACTCTTGGAGTCACTTTATGGCTTGGGAGATGCTCCAGCCTTGTGTCTAATTGAAAAATATTTTCTAATGTTCATTTTAAAAATGGAAAAATCCAGGCCTGAAGACACAGGCTACAAAAATGTTCAGACTTTCTTTCAGGATACTCTTTAGCTGAGCTCCTCAAGACTTTGCAGAGCAATATCCACAGCTGCTGGACCCTGGGCTGGTAGAGGCTGGACTGAACTCACTGCACTGGTGCAGACCAGCGGAGGAGCTGGCTCCTCTGTCTCGTACACATGCAGTTTCGGTTTCAAGCAAGATGCTCTTTTGTGATGATCCGGAAAGACATTGGTGATGGAAAAAACACGGTGTCATAGTAGTGAGCGGCAAATCCTACCTGCATTGTAGGATTGTGCTTCTGTGCATTTCCACTGCCCATCAGGCTCCGTTTCATGGACTTTTCTTCTGTGTTCGACAGTGACTACAGGTATGTGGCTGCTGCTCTCGCCGTCATGAGGAACGTGACTCTACAGATCAACGAGCGGAAGCGGCGGTTGGAGAACATTGACAAGATAGCTCAGTGGCAGGCCTCCGTTCTGGACTGGGAGGTATGGTAAACGCTCGCCCCTGGTTTAGGTGCTGTAAACCTGGGAAAAGTAAATTCCGTGCAGTTGCTGGAGTTATCCTAGACAGTTCATTTCACACAGCCTGGTCTGGATATATGTTGGATAAGACCCCAGAACTGGGATTAAACTTGAGACAGAGAGGACGTATTTACAGACTTTGGAGCTGGTGCTTGAGATGTAAAACATTACTGGCACTCCGGAGAAAATCTAGGATCCAGTTCCAATTTCATCAGTAGAACCCTGGAGTAACTTTTGTGGTTGCAATGCTGTTGTCCTGGGAGTGAGTGAGATCTGGATGTAACTCCGTCGGTGTTCTGGCTCTGTGCTGTGTCATTGGGGAAGTAGGAAAAGAGGTAACAAAAAGCCCTAAAAATTGTGACAGGTTAAGAAAATAGAGAGAAAACTCTGGTTGCTTTATGATTAGAAGCCAAATAATTAAGCTGAAGTTAGAGATGCTATTTGCACGTTTAAAATGAGTACCCACTTACCAACCCTGCGTGTAGTGATGGTGTAATTAAGGAGCTGAGAAAGACAGGAAAGGCAAAGTCAGCAGGGGGATTCCTCACTAGCAGCCCTTCAGTCTCCTACATTTTTTGCCATGTGTTTAAAAAAAAAAAGCCACCCAAGAATTATGTTCTCCTTTTTGCCCCTGATTTTTAAAAAAATCATTGTATGAATGTAATCTGTAAATAGGGTTTTTGAAGCAGACTGAGGACAAATGTGTTTGGAAATCCCTCTCTGTGTTGTCAATCCATGTGTTTAGCAAGTGGATACCTGAGGGTGATGGAGCAGCCTTTCTTCTTCCTCACAGTCATTTGGAATAACTCAATATTCCAGTCAATGGGATCATACTATGTAAATTAGTATAGGGGAAAGATGTGTTCATCCTTTAATTTCTTTTTTTCCAGAAAAGATGTAGGAAGGCTGGGAGGAGAGGGATCTGAGAAATACCTGTGCATCATCACCTTTCCTATTGGGTATCCTCCTTGACCAAACTGGTTTCATTGCTATCGCGAAGGTTGGATTCAACCCTGGGTCTCTTGATAAAACATCTAAACGCAGCAATTGGAGCTGGGTCTTAAATTATGACTGGCTGCGGGAGGAGAGAGCGCAGATGATTTGCTTGATTGTTTTATTGCTGTTCACTGTGAAGAAACCTCTCCTAGTGACACACAGACTCGTTTTCAGAATTAGAAAACTGCTCTCAAGGAGCCACAGGGCCATCAGATATATCTTCAGCCTTCAGTATATCCCACACGATGAGCTAATGTGTGTCATTTGTAAGAAATGCCGAGACCCTCGCTGTAAATAAATCTAGATTAAGGACAGATCAATTCCAAGTCAGTGAATATTCATGTGTGAGTGGAAAGCCAAGGTGACCTCCACATGGGATCCGTGCAATAGCAGTTTCTTTTCCTTTTCCATTAGCTCAGTTGATAACTCATTTTTATTTAGCCAGATCCTTGATAATTCATTCCTCCTTGGCTTTTGCGATATCCTTTGTAATTCATTCCTATTCGTTATGTCCATCCTCTCGTCAGGAACTTGCCAAATCATTCTTCCAGGCTTTTTTCAACTCTTCCAAACGTTAAGCACAATAGTGCGGCAACATCCTTGAGCTTCTCATAATGTAGCAAAGCCTGCTGTTGCTCCTGCTTGGAGATCCAATGGGAACACAGCTACTGGATCCGATGGGAACACAGCTACTGTCCCCATTCACTGCTATGGAGGAGCAGACAGGCAATAGCGGCATGGACCCAGGGTGTGCGGTGCGGTTGGGACGATCTGAAAAAAACACGAAGTAAAAGAAAGCAGGAACCGGGAGAAAAAATTATTGGACTTTTTTCCCCCAGAAATCCAGCCAGGGCACACGATAGCGATAATCCCTAGTTCCCACTGTATGTTGCGTTTGGTGAATTCATTCAGCAGCAACCAAGGCTGAATGTTGAAGCCCGTTGAAATGTTTCATTTGGAGAAATGTCTGTTTTTCCTCAACATCTCTAGACTAACGATGGTGGCTCTCTGATTTAAAATGGCATTTTCATTTCTAAATTTACCCGTGTTTTGCAATGAGATGTTGGGAAAAGATTTTTAAAGAGGAAGAAAATTCCAAACCAAACACAATATATTTAGTGAGTATTTGAAATGTTCTTGTATACAGAGTGCGTGTATGCATTTTCATGCAAGGAGAGGGTGTTACTGGGAATGTATACATTCTGCTGACCCCAAAACAAATAGAAAAAGAAGGGGAGGTGTCCTAGCTAGTTGAAGTGGAAGGGATTTTACTGGGTCCCTTGGAGTTCTGCCTCTGTGTATCAGGAATCATTTTTATCCCTCCAGATTTTTGGCGTGACCCCATGAAGGTGAGTTTCAGGGTCAGTGTTTGAAAAATGTGATATCCTTCAGTTAACCAAGGCCAGAATATTTTTTTTTTTTCCAAGAAGTCACGTAAGCAGGGTCTGATGGTTTAGGTTGTGAATGGGAGCAGGAAGGGGTGGCCTGACTCCAGTGGCAGCTGATAACCGTGCTGTGGCAGCCAGGGCGTGAAGTCTGAAGGAATTATTGGCAGCTTTATACAAATAATGACTGAGCAGAATCTTAAGGGAAGATTCTGATCTCACTGACTGCTGCAAATTAGAAATAATCCCAATCGCTTAGAAATGTGTTCCTGGGTCATTCGTAGGAACGTGGTCTTGACTGAAGAGCCTGGGTTGGACTGTTGCCATGCGTGACTCACTTCTTTATTTTATAACCTGAATTTCCAGTGTATAAACAGACCTAGAGAGGTGCTGCCCCTGCCTCCACCGAGTTTTCTAGCGCCTTTTGTCCTTCCAGTTGTTAGCGGTGCAGAATGTAGGGCTTCCACCACCTCCTGCCGAGCCCTTTCAGTGGCTGAGAGCTCTCCTTCTTATGAAGTGTTTCCCGATGTTCAGCCTCGATTTCCCTGTGCTCAGCGTCATCCCCTTGCTTGTAGCTGAATATCCTCAGATCAAAACAGTGACATTTCAAGGCAGGCAGGCAGAACCGGCACACAAAGTGAGCTGGGGCTGGTTCAGAACATCCTACAAGGTCTCCTCTGGGTCAGACTTCAAACGGGCCAGACCAAGCCTGTCCCGGGCAGCCCCTGCAGTCCCTTCTCCTGCTCTTGCCCTCTGAGAGACAGTTACAGAGCTCAGGGGTTAGTGGGTAATACACACACGCAGCAGGACTGTAAGGAGATGATTTCCACAAAGCCCGTCGGCATTGCTTGCCAGCCCTGCTTTGGGCAGTGCACGAAGTGGGCAGCGGGAGGGACGGAGCCCTGCCTCCCTGCCTTCCTCTGCTCCTGCGCAGGCGTTGCTGCAGAGCCATCGGAGGGGCCCGGTCGCCGCTCCCCTGCC